AGTTGTTGTATACTTAAACTTGGATTTCGAGTCGAGGAACCCGATTCCCAAGGTTAACTGGAGTTTATTGAAGAGTTAACTTATTGAAAGGTTAACTTTTAGTTATCGCAGATTCGAGAAACCGGGCTTTAATCTACTAAATAAATTAAGGTTTAAAATTTAGTTGACGCAGTGGGATGTTTGGGATTTTTGCGGCTCTATCGCGCCCGCATGTTTAGTCAACAAACTGTATACGTGTCCGACAGTATGCGTCGCGGCGCCGGCGGTTTTCATATTACAAACTTCTCTTCATTGTTTTGGATACCGTACGAGCTGCATACCCGCGTGTGCATGTCACGACTGATTAGGGTCCGAGAGTCGCTGCCAGACTATCTCCAGCTTCCTGGACCGAGCACATATTCGAATCAACATGCAAAATATGCGGAGATATATTTCTCTATAGTATACGCGAATTATTGTGGATAAAGTTCGTACGTTATAAGTGACAATGACGTCACGAACCGGTTCGATGCAACGTTGCCGGGTTGTAATGGAAATCCTTTATATGACAGATGACAGATACCTTAAATGATGTTATTACTTTTAATGTTTACTTTCTATACGCACGCAAGAAAATTACACGAAAAACATATAGAAAAACGCAGAAGAAACTGATAAACGTACAGAAACCGCACGAAAAAAAAAATCAGGACGAAGGCAAAAATCGCTAAGAGTCATTTAGAAGGCTCCAGATTCATTTAGAACTGTATAAAATCATTTATAACGCTCCAGCGTCATTAGAACTGTCTAGAATCGTTTAAAACATTCCAGAATCATTTAGATCAGTCTAGAACCATTTAGAAGGCTCCAAAAACATTTAGAACTGTTTAGAACCATTTAGAACGCTCCAGAACTATTTAGAACAGTCTATAACCATTAAGTGACCTCCAGAATAAACAAAAATCGCTGGGAAAGTCACAAAAATAACAAATTGTAGTCGAAACCTGTCCATAAAATAGCGGAATACCGAGACTAACGATATGGCAACAACGCATTGGCAATTCAACCGCACGCCGCTAAATTCCCCTACTCAAATGGCGGAATTAACATTGATACTAAAGACAATTCGAATTGCATGGAAATTACTAAAAATTACGTCATTGTGCCATTTTAAAACGTACGAACTTTAGTAAGAAAGTTTTCTTTTCTCCGTTTTAAGTTACCGTTGACAAGCACTACGTTATTTTGACGTACGGTATTTTGACATAAGTTTTGGAAAACTCTCTACTCCTGCACTGATATAGGTTAAAAAATTTACGCTTACCTCTTTCTGAGCATTTCGGAACGCAGTCCTTGACAGTCGACCCTTCGCTTATATATTTCTGAAACAAAAAAGAAAGCGCTTTGTTTTAAACCTGCAGCACTGTGGGCTAAGTACATTGTAATAAGTTTTTTTTTGTTTAATATCTCACCAGGGAATTAGGATGAACCGAGACGATATAAAAGCTCAGTAGCGTCTGTGTACGTTAAAATAGCGTTAACGTTATTTACCAACGTAAATTTAGAAAATAATCGAGCAATCTACCGTATTAAATCGTCCTAAATTCAATCAATCGGTATCGACAGACCGAGTTTTCGTGCGCATAGGATTTATTGGTTGGTATAACTGCACACATGACTAATTAATGCCGTTAATTTATAAAACACACACATAAAAAGCTCGTATTTGTTTTACATCCCCAATCCTGCTAAATTTATGTGATTAGGGTGATTTAGTTAGGATTTGTGTTAAGAATTGACGTAAATCACGTTCAGAGTTTTCTGAGTATATTACCTATAAATTTACAATTACCGTTAAACGAATGGGACACAAACAAATTAAACGGGATTCACATTTACTAACTATAACAAGTTAAATGATTAATTAAAGAACCTTTGAAATTACTTTAATCATATTTTATACGGCTGCTAGTATAAGTTAAAAATTATGTTCTGAATTCAATTGATTGTATATTTTAGTTTTATAAGTTTCTTTTATGATCAATAGCGTGTAGGTGAAAAAAAAATGTAAAGTACTTCTGGGTTAAAACACGGAGAAAAATCTTCTAAATCGGAAGCACTCCCGGAAACAATATAGAAAATGCAGGTTCCCGTAGACCGAAAGTTTGAAACACATGTCTGGGGTATTATATCCGTACTGGTAGAAAAGTTTCGAGGAACAGGAAAATCCTCGAACGAATAAACATCGATCTGTTGACTGTTTCTCGAATATTATGTAAAATCAGGTTCAGCAAACAATGTATAAAGTAGGTTGATTGTTTCCTGATTTTTTTGGATAACATCATTAGTATAGCATGTAACAAATGCAGTGTAAAATTACACCCTGTATATCGGAAAGAGTCCTGTTGAACCAATTATTACAAACTAGCATTCGAGCGATTTTCGACGAGCTCATTATGCAGGGAAACGGTAAAGTAAAAAAAAACTTTTCCGCCTTCGGGGCCCGCCGAGAAATTTTTCCCGCAAACTTCCAAACGACGCCGGGGACAATAATCGCTCATCGCGCCGGCCGGAAAACTCGTAAATACATCGCGTGTGTTATATGGAAAGTTTTCGGAAAAACGGTTCATATTCCAATTTCCACCCCCTTCCAATAACCCATACGCGACTTTACGAGCGAGTAACTTTCCAGTCACTTCAATTCTTCGCATTTCCTGAAAAGAGAAAACCAAAAGTGCTTGGAAAGTGGGAAATACTTTCGTTTCAATACTAGCCATTCAAGCGAAATCGAGTGGGGAAAACATGTCAATTTAGATATCGATGAGGTAGTTTGAAGACAGTACCTATTGCGTATTCACGGACATTTCATCACGGCGACGATTCATCACTATCACTATTTATTACTGCGACTATTCATCACACCTACTTTAAAAAACTTGTAAAATAAAACAAGACTTTTGGGGACAAAATTATCTCATGGTCGTTTTCCGATGTGGGTAAAAATTAGTTTTTATTCGTTTTTGGATTCTTTCTTAAACATTACAATTTTAATAACTATAATTTCATTACACATTCCTTACTAACATGGTAGAGATAGAGTATAGAAGCAAGTGAATACTCGCTTAAATACTTTCATGATTTTAGTATAGCTGTAGCTTTGCCTTTCGGAATATAGCTGGAAGTGACAAAAAGTTGAAAATATTTTAGCTGCGTTGGGTATCCTGACAAAGCTTCAGCTGTACTAAAATCATGAAAGTATTTAAGCGAGTATTCACTTGCTTCTACACTCTATCTCAACCATGTTAGTAAGAAATGTGTGATGATATGATTATAAAGATTAAAATGTTTAAGAAGGAATGAAGAGTGATGAATCGTCGCCGTGGTGAATTGTCGCTGCTCGTGATGAAATGTCGTGTGATGAATAGTCGTGTGATGGGACGTCGTGGAATCTATTCAAATGTATTAAAGAATTGAAGATATTAAGGGTGGCTAGTTTCAAATTGAAAGCGCTATAGTTTATTTCGAACTGCTAGTTTGCGGTTAATTTTATACGAATTTCCTAAGCAAATAAAAACTGGATAACGAACTGGCCCGAGGCGGAAGCGAAGGTCCCATAAACTCATTTTCGCCGAGCGAAATTAGTATTATTAGAAACATATGTCGCTCGAGCAAAGTTCCGAAGTAATGCGCTCTCATAAGCACTATATTCCTCGGGAAATATGTTGTTTTGGCGCACGATTCCGGATACGCGGCCATTATACTGTTTTCTTCTGTTCGCTAATTCGAGGAGACTGTTTTCCAAATTGCTCCACTCCAACATATACAGGATGTTGCGAATGGAAAGGACAACACTTAACACTAACACAATTTCAGACTAAAATTGACTGGAATTCCAGTCTAACAAGGTGATCCCTTCACTATGATCCATTAATCATCCACTGTAACTCAATACATAACGTAAAACCCGCCTTTGGATATGCATCCCGTAAGATCCATTAGTCCTTATTTAAATGCTAACGGTGTCCTGAGAGTATTCTCTTGTCAGAATTAAATTTTGATATACATACACTCCGGAAAATGCGAAAGATGCCTCTCGCTATATTTTCTTTAATGGACGCGCGGGTCATAAAAAGGACCCTTTAGTCGATTTTACGCGACGCATACCTCTATGATACATGTAGCGTTTAATAAAATATTCCTCCGATATCTTTCTGCAATAAATTATTTTTTACACCAGCTTAAGGCGAGTTTTATCGAGCTTCTTCGAATGCGGTGAGTTATTTTATTATTTTACTTGCCATATGACCCATTGCTTTGTTAGAATTTTCTTTATGAACTGTTAAAATTTTTAAGTGTTTTCACACTAAATTTAATCGATAAAATGATCTCTTAGGTAAACAGAAAATTGCTCATTCGCTCTTCATACGAGTTTATTGAGTATTTTTGTAAATAAATCACGTAATTGCAGAAAATTAAAAAATCACGACACTAACTTAACGGGCACGAACTGTTGTTTCTAGCGTAGGTTTAGAAAAGCACATTTACATGAATTATTCGAAGCAAAATGCGATAGAAACGACGAATTGGCCGCTTTTAAATTGCGCCTAATTGTGATATATTTTTGAACGGCTTTTCCAATGTCTCCGGAACCGCGAGAGCGGGGTATTGTACATGTCACGGTGACGTTCCCCATTTAAATCTTGGAGGATCGTGCACGTACAGGAACTGGGATGGTCTTTGTTATTGCTATAGCGGTATTCGAATTGTTTCCTGGTACATTATTATTATACTGGCAAACGTCCAGTTTTTGTCCGATACGCCTGGATAGTTAATGGAAATTAAAAAAAAAGTGCCAGGGATGATGAATGGATTTGACCAAGAGAATCGCCGTGAATAGCCCTTTGTCATTATTAGAATTTTTTAGGTGATTTTGTTGCTTTATTTATTTATCAACGAAATAAAAAAGTATTTAAAAGTAGCTCGATCATTTATTATTAGTTTAATTTAAATAAATACGTCGTTTATTCGTTTTCTTTCTGGCTAAGTGTAGTTGTCGTACTGTTAATAATATCCAAAGTTTTCAATTTAATCATCCTATCCAGGAATTGCAGACCCTTATTCCAGAATTTCTCGTCCTTATTAACGGCTATGGGCACCTTCCTGTTGAAACAGTACTTTACAGGGACGGTCTCGTTTTTCATCGTCGTTGGAACTTTTATTGAGTACACAACACATCTATTAAAAAATAAAACAGAATTTGCCTAATTACAGTAATTACAGGTTGTGCAAAACAAATATCAATGCACGTCACTACTGTCGTCATACTTGCCAAGTATTGTGTCCAACTTTTAAAAATAAAAACACCAAATAGATTAAGCTTAATACCTGCAGAATTTAATTTAATATTAACAACGGATGATAGAAAATGTTAAAAAGCAGAATTAATCATCCAAAAAAATATATATTGTTAAAATGCAACGTTTGTATATAAAATTATTATTATTTTCTTAGAGTAGGTTGGTAGGCACTGATTTTCAAGTTGCATAGTTGCCGTTGTCATCACATCGGTACTTTTAATATTCAATTTCTTCTTATTTTTTCTAGTTTACTAGCCTCAACTGCTAAAGGCTCTTCATCCGAATAATCAAGAAATAAGAATTTTTTGATGCTTAGTTATCTTTTCCACATGTTAGAAATGACACAATTTGAGCTCTAAATAATTCAGATTCAGAAGTTTTCCATGAAATACCCCTAATTTTCAATTTTTTCTCGTCATATTGCCAGTTGACAATTTTAGAAAATTCTTAGATTTTGTAAACTCTACAAAAGTTCGGCAACACTGCCTACTTGTGACGTAGTAAATTATAGGTGACGTACATTGATATTTGTTTTGCACCAACTGTGTAATCCTATACTATTCAGTTTTTAACTCGATTATGAAGGTGTTAATTTTTACCTGAAAACAACGTTCAATTTTTTGGATTGAAAGCCCAGGTAATGATCGGTGTTGTTTACCGTGCAAGGTATTTCGTTCAATTTGGAGGCGTCTCGACGCTGTTCCCCGGCGGTGGCGTCGTTGCAAACTTCCGTCGTTAAATTCAGGCATTTGGAAATCCTGCTTTTGGATTTCGATTCGTAGATATCGAAACATTCAGATTGGTTGCCGTACCCTGTGTATAATATCGTATCGTTTTTGGACGTAATGAAGCCGAGGGAACCATTGTGGTCTTTTAGATTTTCGAAACAGTACACTTTGTAAAAATGCTCGTCTGCGTAGTGGACTTTAACGCACGTGTCTTTTCTAGTGGCAGTGTAATAAAACGTCGCTGAAATTTATTGATTTATAATTGATTAATTAGTGAACTTTTACTTACAATTTTTGGCGTCGTTATTAGTTCGTTTATTGGAATTTTCTGAATAGGCACTGCTCACTAGAAGCAACAGCGTGATGACCACAATTTCCATCGATTTCATCTTCGACGCGGCAATGCGAAATTAAATTTCGGAATAATCGATATATTTAGAATGGCGAGCGAACGCGACTATTTCGAAACGCTCTATTTTAAAACTGACATATTTTGTACAGGGCTAATCAATATCGTTCCGTTTGAACTAATTGAATAAATCATTTCGCTAAAAGTAAACAAACTTTAGAAATTTTCAACTCTTTAATTAAATCTCGCCGTAAAATATTATTTTCATTTTACTTCGAGAATACCGGTTAATTACCTTCTTTTTTGCTAATATTAAGCGACTCTTTCCTTACCGGCTTTCGAAACTTAGAGCATAAATAATTGAGAAGCTATTTGAACTACCTCACCCCGACAATTTATTCTAAAATAGATGCTGACAATCTAATCTTTCGTACAGGGTGTAAACGTACAAATAAAGGAGTCACAAAAGAAACTTGATAGTAACCTCTATAATAAGTTTTCTTCCTTTTATATTCCATTTGATTAAATTCGATATCTACCTATAGCAAGATATATCATTTTGCGGGAAATAACAACACAAAGAAGAATTGATTAATGAAATTTTATACTGATTTTTAGATGCCATTCTTATAAGCAAATCGAAAAATCTCAACAGCCACAACAAATAACACAAATTTAAGATAAACTTTGACCCAATTAAAATTATAAATTATATACACTAGAACGGTGCTTAAATGTATAACGAAATTTATTATTCGTACTATAATGAATTACGCTAGTTTAACTTTGTGCATATCAGCTTGCATTATACCGGCCTTTACAGGTAAGCTATTCTGAATAGCCATGTATAAATCTACCTATGTACAGGGTACAGGGTGATTCTTTAGTATAGTCCTTTTCAAGATATAGTAGAAAATGACTTTATAAGCTGATGAGTTTATGACTACCCGGTGCTGTTTAGGGTACACGCCGTACTCGCCGGTCGAAGGACGCAGAACCGAATTTTAAGTTTGGCACTTTCGCTGCGGCTAAGCGGCGATGCAAAATACTCATTAAATAACATTTCTTAAGTTCTTACCTGGAAATGTAAATACTGTTTACCACCCGACCCGACAGAAGTGCTTCAACGTTCCATTGTATTGGTATTAGGAAAGTCATTACTTTATTGCTATAATCCCTAAGCTCTCACGCCTCTTTTCTACTATATCTTGAAAAGGACTATACATAGATTAATATCTCCTGTCTGATATACAGGGTAAGTATTTCCCCTAGTAATAAATCTTTGTATATTTATCTTAGCCACACCTGTAGAAGATGGTAAATGCGTGAAAATTTATTACACCGCTGACGATTACTACAAGTTTTATTGTTTCCGAATGATCGATAATGTGCTGTCGATAAAGACCGATAAGAATGATACAATTAAATTTGAATCGACCAGAAATGATCAAAGTTGCGTTAAAATTACCGGGCCGAACGCGATGAAACCCTCGGAAACCACATGCGAAGATTATTCTACAGAGGATTGCTACAAAGAGGGCGAATCGCTACATTTTCCGAACGAAGAAAGCGGAAATATACCTTGCAAGAAATCGCAGCGACATGATGCACTCTTGATGCAAGCTAAAGCCGATAAATTAGTCGTTATTTTCGGTACGTATGAGTCCCATTCTCGTTCGTTCAATTCTTCTTTTTCTACTTCTTCCACAGATGTGATTTCAACAAAGAAATCGATAATCTACGTACCATACAATCGACCCGAAAGAGAATAAATTCACCTATAAATATGCAGATTACGCTACACCAAGAATTAATAAAACCGTTACAAAAGTAGTCTAGCATTTATTAGTTTAGTAGGTATCAGCAAATACCCGTTAAAATACGCCTAATAGAAATTCGCTTCGGGCCTATTGGGACACTCGGAAGAATATTTCGATGGGTTTTTTACGCAATCATTAGATGAATGAGCATCTATCATGTCGGATTCCCCGGCGAGTTGATTGATCGATGTTTACCTACCTTTAAAAAATGAAATAAACCGCATAGGGAAACTCCGGAGGAAACATCTGGACCGTTACGGGTCCATTCCCTTTCGACTGTAATCGTTATCGGCTAACACAGGCCGTAGGTATATAGAGTGTTTTATTTTAATACAATTTATACGGATTGTGCCAGAATATTTGGACAAACAGAGCACAAAAAATATTAAGAAAAAACCTACTAGGTATAAAAAAAGATAGGATTTTCTAAAGTTTGTACATTTTTATTTGTGACTTTAACGTGAATATTTAACTAGAAAAATTCACGAACAACACAGAAAAACGCGGGAGAAACTGATAAACGTACAGAAACCGTACGAAAAACACAAAAACTACTCGTAAACTCGGAACTACTCGAAAAAAAAAACAGGACAAAGGCAAAAATCGCTGGAAATCATTTAGAACTGTCTAAAACCCTTTAGAACGTTCCAGAGTCATTTAGAAGTGTCTAGAATCGTTTAGAATTATCCAGAACCATTTAGAACTGTCTAGAACCATATAGAACGTTCCAGAGTCATTTAGAAGTGTCTAGAATTAATTAGAATTCTCCAGAATCATTTGGAACTGTCTAGAACTATTTAGAACGCTCCTAATTACTAAAAACTAAATTGACTAAAAATTACGTCATTGCCATTTTAAAACTTACGAACTTTAACAAACTTAGTTTTATTATTTTATTGTGTTCTATTTGAATGCGATATATTGACATCTGGGACAACATGTAAGTATATCTACATATTTACCTTAGGTACTACTTACGTTAAGAATTTAAAAAATATCTTATGTATAAAGTATTCCTGAGACTTTGTGGGAAGTAATTTAAATTTACTTCTCAATTTCGTTTTTTCTTAAAAAAATATGCGATGAACACTTTTTCAAGTATTTTATGGGCCTTCAAATTTAAGCTAATGGGATATAATTCGGCTGTAAATACTGCAAATTATTACGCTGGCGAATAAAACGAGCCCTTCGTAAATTTTATTATTTTTGGATTTTTTTTTTGATATTTCGAAACGAGACGTATTTATAGCGGGAGAAAAATCGATGGGACTTCCTTCGTCCGGAAGATGTTTCGCAACGTAACGACGAAAATTGTAAATTAAATGCTGCAATAATTTTCTCGTTTCGAAGGGTTTTCCGATCTCGGAATTATGGCATGCATGCACGTCCGTTCTCGCCGGCGTCCTTCACCTACGTTTCGGCTATTTTTACTCACCCCGTCGAATTATAAATTCATCAAAAATATATTAAATATTCCGCAGCAGGTAAATCCCGACTGGCAAAATCGCGTACGTTTTCCTAATAATTCCGGTTAAATTAGAATAATTGACGCTTTAGAAACCAGCCGAGTATGAACGTATAAATCCCGCTGCATGAGCATTGAGTGGCCAGTCATACTTGCGGTTATTAAAATTCACACGAAGGTCGCCATTGTAATATAAAAATTCGTATTTAATAATACGAGTTTTTCTCCCCACCGTGTCTTCACGTGCGGTTTTCTCGGCTGCTCGCTCCTTCTTACGAATAAAAGGCATATTTTAACACTTATCTCAACTGGAATTTGCGTTTGATTAATCAGTGTCGAACAGAAGAAACTTACAGTTACACGATGACTCTTGTTTGGCATACGAGAATCTGTTTGGTTTTAATAATTGCAGTGTATTTTACTTGTGTTACATGTAAGTACATACGGATTTAATCATTTTTGATTTTTCTTTCCTAAATATAATAATTTTATCTACTGTGTAGATGAATATTATTGACTTTCAAACGGGATCAGAGGTGAAACTAGTAAAATGCAACAATTGCGTTTACTAATATTTTGGAATCTAACTAAACCTATAGTTAATACAACTCGCCCTAAATACCTTGTGCAATATCGAACTTATTTTTCATACTCATCTTCAGGTGAAATATCGAACGGACAATGCGTTAAAGTATACTACACAGACGACAACTTCTTCAGGATCCAATGCTTTCGTGTAGCTCCTACCCAAAACGTATTGGCCCTAACGACAGAAGCGGGCGATACCGTGGAGTTCTTCAACTCCACGATATCCTCGGATTGTTTCACCGTCCAACATCGCAGTGGCAACGACACGGCGTTCGTTTGCTCGGAGTATTTGAGAGACCCGTGCGTTAAAATGGGAGAGAAGCGGTTTTTCTGGAAGGATTCCACCAGGGATAGCGGCAGGATACCGTGCGTGGTGCCCGTCTTGCCCGTCTCCTACGGGGGAATCAAGGCGGGGAATTTGTCGCTCATTATAAACGATGTGGTGTTGACGTCTTTTCACATAGTGGACGTGCCGGATCGGTATCCTCAAAGGGAGTGAATCGAGATTTTGTTTCTACTAATTTTAAATAGTTTTATTAATTATTGTTATGGGCGCACCGAAAGAAGGGGAGAGCGAGAAGGCAATTTTTGAAATTATTAAAGGGGGGTTGGAGTTGCGTGTCCTTAGGGTAAGATGAGAGCGAGTTGGTGCTTAAAGGCCGCGGCATCCATTTACTGATTGGAATTAGAGGAATTGGGTGAATTCGCAGCGACAGAATCAGCTGGGTTTAATTTTGCGTACGTAAGATGTTGCGAAACTCGAACGGCCAATTTTTGAATTTTCCTCGGATTCTACATTATAAATATCCGGTAGATTATAGTTAGTATAATATAAATCCAATTTGCAGCAGCGGAATAATTTATTAATCTATACATGTAGCAGTAAGCGAGTTGCTTTGTGTGCTCGATTAATTTCCCTAAAAATACCAATTTATCATCAGAAATTTTACGATAACCAATTTTATATAAATATTTATCGAATTGTTATAAATTGCCTGTACGTTTACCATCGCTCAATTTGCATTTACATTTAATTTTAATTGCAATAAAATTGAATATCCTACTTCATTTCCAATTAATATTTACGCAAAAGCCTATACATGAATTTTTCGAACAATTAAAAAGTTAAAAACTCTTATTTCAGTGCGTTTGACGTGTTTGCTGAAGGGTTAAATAATAAATTACCCTTTATTATAAAAACTTTAAAACAGATTTATTATTAATTTGTAAAAAATATACCGTTAAAACTGTAATAATATTTTATAAAGAAAAATTTTAAATTCCAAAAAATTTGTTTCATAAAAACACTCTTTAACACAGAAATGAAAAAGAGCACTTTACCCATAAAACTAATTAATCAATTCCATTAAACCACCCCTTTTAATAAAAGTTTAATTTAAGTGAAACTTTTAACCACCCTCGCGAACCTAAATGTAGCAACTATAGGTAAATCGAACGAAACTTACAATGCAAAATTTATGATCGGCTTTGGGGCACTCAATCAACTTCATGAGCGTCTGGTTGAGACAAGGAGTTATAGAGCCGACTCCGTCGTTGTACATCCCGCATTGGTAGCACTGCAAGGCCAGCACTCCCGCTGCGAAACTAGCGAAAACTCCTGCGAAAAATGCGAAATTCGAGCCCATCTTCGACAGTGGAAGAATCGAGTCGCGTCCGTGCGGGCTGGGGCCGTCTCTGAGCCGGAGAGTTGCTTGCTGAGCGCGAGTTGGAGTTCAACTGAACTCTAGCAGCAGGAATTCGAGAGTTCGGCCGTTTTGGCTATTGCGTCATTGGAGAACGGAAAACGGAAGCTGGCTGTCAATGATTTTGCGTTTTTTTTTTGTTTCGTGTTGATAGCTGGAAAACAATTTAGAGACGTCGACGGTAATTGGAAGCTTTTTTGCGCTTTCCTCTGAATTGAATAAACTTTTTAAAGTAGGTGTTCGTTTAAACGAACTCGGCTCTAATTATATCTGTTCGCTTCTGATATATCGTTACTATAGAAATTTACCCTTGTTTTGTTCTAAGAAGCAGTTTTTGCCAGTTACTAGCGTCAATAACAAGTCCAAATAAATACTAACTGCCTGGATTAGGTGGAACTAAGCAAATTCTTGAATTTATTAAATTGTGCGTGATTTAAAAGTTATTTTAAATTGGGATTACTGTTAAATTACTGAAACTGACCCAAATTGTCTTCAGTACAAGCAGTTTTTTAATGCTTTAATATGAAACTTTTACTGTTATATTCTACCATCCTTTAGAACTCAACGAGAGGAACCTGGTGGTACTAATAACTCAATTTTTGAAACTTTTTGGTTAATGTAACATACTGCAAACAGGCCCTTCTAATTCACGCTGTTCCTACGACAAACAAAAATACACCCTTCAGGAAAAATAAAACTAAAGAAAACTTTTCACAATAGGAAAAAAATCCGGCAAATCCGCCGACCGTCCGGACGTAATCATAAACAAATCCAGTTCACCGCGAAACTTTCATCTCTCGTTCCGGCGATTTTTTCGAACCCTTTTCCAACTTCCGTTTCGCCGCGGGAAGTTTTCCGGGCCCCGCAAGCGACGTCTGAAATGAGATTGATTTTTATAAATGGTCGCCGGTATTTTTCGACTGGGAAAAACGATATCATCGGGTCAATTGGGCCGGGAAAAAATTATCGAACTTTCGGCGAAAAACTTTAATGGAATCGGCCGGCGCTGATGAATTATTTGGAAAAAACGGAGCTAAACAGATTTTGAATGCGGACTGGTTTGGGGTCTGCTAGGGATAAAAAATAGTGATGTTAGATATATCGTGTGTGATAGAAAAAACTAGAGGAAAGTAATGGAAAGGATAAAAAATCCTTACTATCGCTCAGTGTAGGTACCTAATAAAGTTCTTACGTTTTAAAATGACAATGACGTCACGAACCTTTCGATACTTTTACAAATAAAAAGACCACAAATAGTAGAGTTTAAATATGAAAATGAAATTCAGGAGGAGATACGAACCCGCGATTTTTAATATTTAACAAAATTACTACAGTATTTAACAATAATAACAAAAACTACTTGTAAATTAAAAAAAACAACAAGACAAAGGCAAAAATCGCTAAGAATTATTTGGAACGCTCCAGAATCATTTAGAACTGTCTATAACCATTTAGAACGCTCCCGAATCATTCAGAACCTTTTAGAACCATCCAGAATTATATTGAATCATCTATAACCATTTATAACGCTCCAGAATCATTCAGAATCATTGCCTAGAATCAATTAGAACGCTCCAGAAAGACAAAATCGCTGGGAAAGTTACAAGTATAACAAATTGTAGTAAAACCCTGTCAACTAGAGTGGAATTTTGAGAATAACAATATGGCAACAACGCATCGGCAATTAAACCGCACGCCGCTAAATTATCCTAGTCAAATGGCAGAATTAACATTGGCACAAGTGAAATTTTGAACAGCGTGGAAATTACTAAAAATTACGTCATTATCACTGTAAAACGTGCGAACTTTAGGTATCTATCTACAGATATGTTAAGAAAATTATTCAGGAGTTATTTTTAATTTGGATTACTGCTCAAATCCTAAAATTTACCCAAATGTCTTCAGTAACTATATATGTTTAATACTTAATACTTTTATTGCTATATTCTACCATCTTATAGATCTCAACGAGAGAAACCTGGTGGTACAGATAACTCAACTAATGCAAAAGAAAGAAATCTTGACTTGTTATATATCAAATTATGGCATTTATCCACAGATATAATTTTGGGGAAGAACTATTATAAACATGAATAAAATTCGTAATACTTTAATAACTAAATAACCACTAAATATAAAACTCATTTTAAACTTAGATACAAAAAAATTGTTTTGACGAACACTGTCTTCTCAACAAGGTAATTTGCCTTATGAAATGTTAATTATATTATATTACAATTATAATATAATTGTGATTTATCGAAATATTAATTGGCGTTTTCGCACGCATCTATCCAATCGTTATACACATCCACAGGTTCAGATAAAAAGTTTATGGTGGTCTGAAAGTCTTCTAAACATACACGACAAACTATACGAGCTGTACTCCTTCCTTTATCCCTAAAATAACAAACAATAATTAATAACAATGTTATCCGAATATATATTATATAGAAACAGTAATTGTATGCCTAATCTAGGTAATAATACATTATTATAATAATACTGAATAAATTATAACTCTAATATCGTATTTATATTAGTTAAATACATTAATTTACACATATAAATTAGGAATTGTTGCTAAAGTAATTATCAAAACACAACTTACATTTTAACATCGCAGGATTTTTCGTGATTGCAAAACGGGCAATTGAATAATATATCTAACGGTTCTATGGCTTTCCTTTTCGGAGGCGGCTTCCTTTTCGATTTCCTTCGGCCCATTTTTCCGCAAATAAATTATAAAGTTTGCAATACAAATAAGTTCTTGTTGCTAAACAATATAAATGTCACTTGTATATGTCAATGTCATCTGTCAGTTCATTGCTACCAATCTAACCATTTTGGGATATTTTTTCGTTTATGAAAGTGTTATTATTGATAAATTTCATAATGCATTTGATAGTCTCGTTTCTATCAATAATTTTTGATTACTAAAATTTAATAAAAACTAATTAACATGCTTATAATTTATAAATAAAAAATAGGGTTAAGTTGGTCACAATGTACTAGGAACAAAAAAAAAGAAGAAAACTTGGATAGTTGACAGATAACCTCAAAATTTGAGTAACCCAAGTTTTTGAATTGTTGTTTAAATCAACATTTATTATTCTCTCTAAAACATATTTATTAGTGAATAAGGTGAAATATATTGATATTTAGTGACAATTTCTAGATATGAGTTTTTTGCAAGAATTTCAAGTAGTCGTGTTAGCAGCTGGAAGAGGTTCTAGGATATCAGAAATTACAGCTGGAAAGCCTAAATGCTTGTTGCCTGTAGGTCCTAAACCATTACTGTGGTATCCTTTGTATAAATTACAAAAGTCAGGTTTTTACGGTCAGTTCGATTATCTAAAATATTGCGGGGTATATTCCAATTCGTTTTTTAGAGGTTATTTTGGTGGTTCTGGAGAACCAGAAAGCAGAGATTCAATTAGCTTTGGAAAAGAGCGACTTGGAAATAAAAATCGATTATTTTACGATTCCCGATACTGGAGATTTGGGCACTGCTGATAGTTTGAGGTTGATATACGATAAACTAAAATCTGATGTATTGGTCGTTTCTTCCGATTTCATCAGTGATGTAAATTTAAAGGGACTTTTAGACACTCACAGAGCACACAATGCTTCATTTACTTCTCTACTAATACATCCCCAACATTCTGAAGCAATTATTGTACCTGGTCCTAAATCGAAGCATAAACCAGGTAGGCAACACATTTACATTCGAGTAAATACTAATTCTAACACGAAATTCGCCATTCTTAGAACGAGATTTAATTGGAATCGACGAACAAACCAATAGATTAGTTTTTCTGGCGTCCGCTTCGGATTTCGAAGAAAAACTAGCTCTTCCGATGTCCCTGTTAAATAAACATCCAAAAATCAAAATGTACAGTAACCTACTCGACTCTCACGTTTACGTTTTGAAAAATTGGGTCATCAAATACCTGAAAAACGAGGAAAATTTCACGTCGCTGAAAGGCGAACTGTTACCTCACATTGTCAAAAAGCAATTGGTTAAACCACCAGAAGCGACCAACACGAACCAATCGATCATAAACAACAATGATCCAGGTGATATTTTCTCGTTAGCTAAGGAAGATGACTTGGAGCTGAGTATCAGAGAATTATCGAGTTTTAATGATCACACGGGCGATTTAAAGGGGCCCTATCACGGCGATGTAATTAGATGTTTCGCTTATATTGCTCCGAAAGGTTCAATAGGCGTAAGGATAAATACTTTACCTGCATATTGGGCAACTAATGCCAAAGTAAGTAAATGCTTAAGTTACTTGGAAGGAGTATTTAAACATTATTTTCTTTTTAGATAATCGATTATTGGAATAAAGTGGCTCATTCTAAAGAACTCGCGCTTAAATCGTCTAAAGCTACAATTTCTTCGACTCAAGTCGACGATAAGTGTATTATTTGGGAGAACGCGAAGCTGAATGAAAAGACATCATTCAAAAATTCCATCGTAGGATCGAATACAGAGATTAACAGCTTCACTAGGGTTTTTAATAGCATCATTATGAATAACGTTACCATACATCAAAAGTAAGGGAAATTCGCATTTATTTGAACTTAGTGTAATCGGTTTGTTGAAATTTCAGAGTGGCGTTGGAAAACTGCATCGTTTGCGATGGAGTTACTATAGAAAGCGGTTGTAAATTAAAAGGTTGTTTAGTGGGTAGCAGTCATGTGGTGCCCGAGGAATCTGAACATACGAACGAAGTTCTAACGGAATCGGATCGTTTGATGGAATTCTAACTTATTTGCTTTGTTAGGTGATGATATTGACGAAGTTTGTTTTATTTTGTATAAGTATAATATATTCTGGATTCAGATAATGAGCTATAGTCTTTTATAATTAACATTTCAGGATATATCCCTTGAGATTAACGAAAAGCATTGGGAAATTTTCTTTGGGCTTCCTGTATATAAAGATAGAACAGAGTTAGAGCGTTAACGACGATTGACAAAGTTTTTAAAAAATGTTAGCTCAATTCGTTTTTTCTTCGTAAGTCGAATTGTTTGATTGTTTGACAAACTTCGAACTGTCAAACTTGTCATTTCCGCTACTACGGGATACGTTGACATTTAATTCGATGTACAGGGCGTTTTTTCTTTAAGGAAATCGGAAAACTTGGTATACGGGGTGTTTTTTTAAGCAAAAAATTATCATAATTTAATTTGAAATGTAGTACGGGGCGATTCGTTTTTAGGCACATGTTAAATACAAAATGCGAGGATCCGGCTATAAAACTGTCTTTGTGTTATTTACACTGAACAAGTCGAGCTCGCGCAGGAGTGAGATCTTGGTTATTTAACTGCCTTTCGAGCTGCGTATCTATGCGGCAGAGGCCATTATTGTAATTATCAATAAACTCGAGCTCGCACAGCGAGCGAGAATCGAATATGCAACTGTCTGCGGCGGTTATTAATAAAAATCGGGAAGTTTTCAATTTCTTTTCTTCAGTTGGTACTCACACAGACAAGTCCCGTCTTGCATATTTATTGACAAACGTCAAAAATATCCCAATACAGTTAATTTTACCCTTTCTAAAAGATAACGATGTCATAAATTAAAGTACAATGATTGCAAGAAATGCAAAGACTGATAGAGAACTTAAACGACGAAGATACCCAGATATCCCTTATAGCGTTCTTGTGCTTCTTCGTGGCATGGATAACGATAACGAATTTCATACAGTTAGTAACGATTTTGCTATTTTATTACATTATGGTAAATGGCTAAGGAAAACGGCCGTACTTGAGCCGCAATGTAGCTGCTATATTATTTAAAATTGTCGTGTAAAATGTTTGTATCTAATACTATTTGTGAGTTAATAAATTTGGTGTTTGATAGTCAAGTACGGACATTTTCCTTTATTTTGTTGTCGCGAATCTGTGGTGTCTGAAAGTATACAAATTGTTTTAGTAAGTGGTGTAAAAAATTTAAATACAGCTGGTGTTATTTATCCGAAAGCACTAAACTTTCAATTCAAAAAGTTGGTAACATTTTAATATAAACTCTTCTTTTTTATAGTGCTTTCAGATAAATAGAAAGTACATGGCATTTTATGCAATTGGTCGATAAATATCGATAAAACGCGCCCTAACATGTTTGATTTAACATGACGCTGACAGAACGATGAGTTGAGTAGTAACATTCATTGAATTCATCGAACAAATCTGCAGTAAATCAACATGTAAAATGGATTCGGTGGTGAAAAATTTCAGCGAAGCAATGTCGAACCAGGACACCCAAATGGCCGTAGCCGGTTTCCTGTGTTTCATAGGCGGTTGGATAGTGCTCACCAGGGCCGTGCAATTTCTGATATCCATGCTATGGCCCTTTTTCGTACTCGTTGGATCAGCGCTAATCTTCACTCAATTTTCTACAGGATGGTTCACTGAATTGGTGCCGCAGTACAGTCGAGCGGCGTCGGACTTTTTGAGGAAGCTCAACGAGGAATACGCGAACGATCGGTATAGAAGATTGTGAAATGGAAACGATTCAAATCGATAGAGAGCTCGAAGATTTTGGAAATTGTAGTTCTGTCAGGACAATAAAAGTCAACTAAAGAGGTATTGTTAGTTGTTTAAATTCCTCGTTTATAGAATTATTTTTACGTGTCACATATTATATGATCTTCTACCTCTACCTACCACCTTGCACCCCTCTCTACCCTCCTGTACCTACCCTCTTCTACCCTATTGCACTACTCCTACCCTAACTGATCCATCCCTACCCTCTGCTACTCTATTCTACCCTCTTATCTTACACTTATCTACCAAGCATCTGTGTTATTTTTGCCAAATATCTATTATTTTCAATTATTTGGGTTTGCTCTCTGGTATTAAACATGGTATTAAAAACACATTGGCAACGATGCACTGTTTTCGACGTTGCCAGTTGAGAAATTTCGGCGTAATTGGCGCATGCGCTACAGTTCGTAACCTACTTCATGATAACCGAAAGTATTATAAGTTACAGTTACAAAAAATTCTTTCTTGATAATTCGGCTGAACAGCCTTTAGTAGTTGATGTTGATGCTAGTAAACTAGAAGAAATTGAAAATTAAAAGTACCGATGGGATGACAACGGCAACTATGCATCTTGACAATCAGTGCATACCAACCTACTATAAGAAAATATTATATACAAACGTTGAATTTTGACAATATATATTTTTTTGGATGATTAATTCTGCTTTTTAACATTTTTTATCATCCCTTGTTAATATTAAATTAAATTCTGCAGGTATTAAGCTTGATCTAATTTGTGTATTTATTTTTAAAAGTTGGTCACAATGCTTGGCAAGTTTGACGACAGTACTGACGTGCATTGATATTTGTTTTGCACCAACTGTATAATGGACACATCAAATAATTACGAGTGAATAAAACGTATCATTTTATTTTTTATATACAAAAATACAATTTCGTAGCCTAAATAATCTTACTCAACAAATATATACAAGATTTTTTTAGAATTAAACGGTAATATAATAGTATTAAGAAATGAAGTGTACGGGAAAATCTAAAAAACAACGGAGACTCGGCCGTGGCGTAAATGGAGTGATGTTTGATGTTTCCACGGTATCTCGAAACATTTTTGGATTTGCTACATAATTTTTCTGACGCATGAAATTCAAAAAATGTGATATTTTACCAAAAAAAAAATTCCCAGGGACGTAGCCAAATTAACCAACTTGAACCATTTTTAGCTACGAATAAGATGTAAATTACCCCCTTGACCCATCCGCCCCTGGGCTTACCAACACCTCGCTTGATATTCTTATTAAGTACTATCGAATTCGCCAAAATTTACCTTAGACAGGCCATTTTTATTCATATTAGATTTATAGATAGGTAACCATTGCCACACACATATCCACGCCCTTCACCGATGATTTTTTACGTGTAAGTACAACATAATGGCGTAAGAGAAGAAAAAAATTGTGCAAACAACCTTCAACAACGTACAAAAAGCACTAAAGCTACGTGGAAATAATTCATTGAGAAATTTCCCAGTGCGCATTCGCTTTAAAATCCAACGAATTATTCCATTTTTTTCAGCATCGAGGCACTAATGGTTATTAATAGATATACACGAACAAAGAAACACGCGTTTTAAATGAACCCTCTCAGATCTAACCGAATTCGATATTCCCGCCCCGAGTAAATAAACTTTTCAAAATAGTTAGGAATATAATATAAAAAAAATAAGAGCTCGTTTTCACATATAAATCGCGATACAAGTGCGTCACCGGATCTCGAAGTTTCACGAATTGCTTTTTGACATAACGCCTAACCGAATCGCCCATTTCCAATTCCCTTTGACTTTGATTTTCTCATCGTTAAAGCCCATTTGGTTTTTCCCCGACAAATGTCCACTCGACATCAATATTTTGAAATTTTGTCGAAATAACGAAATGCCGTCGAGCTGGAATTTGTCGTATAAATACGCTTTAAGGATGTTTCAGAAGACTTTCGGATTTATTTAAACGGTAATTCAACCTTACGGCAGACTAAAAGTTAATACAGTGGAAGCTCCAAAATTGTACAATCAACTATACTCAAACACTAATCAATCAGCAATCGATTATTGGACAATAATCGTTGAAACAAATAGATTTTCGAGTACAGCGATCGAGTGTAGTGCAATTTCGAGTGACAGGAAACGGACGATTTTTTTTGTTGTTGTAAATTTAAATTAAACATTACTATAAAAACACTATTCGTTTAACGCGTATCGATTCTCTCGTTCCGGGCGCCTCCTATTCGATTTTTTTGCCGTTCAACTTGGCGATCGATTGCGTCACGAATCCTTTCGTGCTTCCGTTCGAATAGCAAGCCTCGTACGAATCGGTGTACTCGCTCCTGATGTACGTGTTGTTCAGTGTACCGTTGCTGCTCGATTTCTTGATGCCGTTCGGTGCTTCGTCCTCCAGCACCGGCTAAAAAACACAAGATAAAAAGATATAGTTATATAACACTCCTAAGTTGTTATGGACGGTTCTCGCTTGCTTCGCAAGCTCGTCGCGAGCGACTGAAACTTACCATGCACGCTCCGTTGCGTTCGCTACTTTTCACAGCCTTTTTGCCGGTGTACTTGACTTTGTAGAAATCGGAGAACAAGAAGAGGAACATGATGCCGTGCAACGCTATCCACACCATGAAGCCTTTGGGATAGTTGCAATCGACGAACAACAGTTGGAATTGGTGCATGAAGATCGCCACGAACTGCACCTGTAAGCGGGAAAATCGTTGAGGAAAAAGCGCGTTGGTTGTAAGGGAAACGATTACCATTTGAAGCGTCGTTAAATATCTTTTCCACCAAATGTATTTTTGGTATCTTGGACCCATGGCGGCGACCATGTAATAGAAATACATGATGATGTGGACGAAGGCGTTTAGTAATGCGAAAAACGTACTGTGGCCACCTGCAAACGAAAACGTTCTATATGAAGAATTTGATTGCAAAATCGTAATTATTAATATGAGTTGCTCAGCGCCAGATTGACCCAACTGCGAATTGCATTAGCTGGTATCAATCAGGAAAAAGTACTGCATATTTTTTAATCTATTAGAGCTTAAATGGCCCAAGTATGCACGGTATATCTATTAGTGAACTATAAAAGCTCATTTAGGCCAATATGTGGACTTGAAATTAAGAAAATATGAAGAACTTTTTCGGATTGATACCAGCTAATGCAATTTCGCAGTTGGTGCTGACCGACTTAATTTAGAAGCTTTATTTATCATTCCTCTTCTTCCATTAATCCATTACCAAGTCCAGTTTTGTACAATGAGGTATTTTATAATCTTCTCCAGTTGCGTGAAATTTCCTCTTGCTTAATATCTATGTTAATAATTTTCCACCACCATTACTGATTTTTTTCTGTACACCTTAATCCAATAGGTAGTGCTTTGTTCTTTTACCTTCTTTTCTTCATACGTACTACTAGTTTCCTTCTTCCAATTTGTACTCAATTATCTTCCATCAGTACATTTTTTAATACTCTTCTAAAAGTTTTACTATCCTTCCGAAACCTACGCGCTCTCGTCGATAAACAGCAAAAGGTTTTTTTTCAATAAAATTCGTACCGACGATGGTGAATTCATCGGTGGTCACTCGAACTTACCAGGAGCGAATTTCAGGCCCATCCATACGGAGAAGGGCATGCAGCCGTGGTGGATGACGTGAAGCGTCGATACGTGGCTGTTTTTCTTCCGCAAAATGAAGAACAGCGTATCGAGGAATTCCGTGAATTTCGAAAAATAATACCACCAACACGTCCTGACCATCTGAAACGAGAAAGCGGAAAAAATGTAGAAGTTTCCGCACACGATGTGTCCATCGGAAAAACGGTTAGGGCGGCATGAAGTATAGCGTGATATAATCCGCATTCAATTTTCATTAAAACGCGAAGGGTTGCGGTCGTTCACTCTAGCAACTAATAGGAATGTGTCTACGCCATTATTTATTGAAACGTGAGGTTATAGCTTTCTTTTAAAGGGGTTATTTTGTAAGGCGATTCCGAAATCAATTAAATATTGTTCAGAAATGAATGGTTGGTTTCTCAACCAACGATTATATATTTCCGAACTTTAAACATAGCAACGTTGCTTATTTGAATATTAAACAAGAAGAAAATTAAGTTAGTTATTTGTCAATCTTCTTCTGATCTGGTTCTGATGCATCTAGGTGGTTCCTATGCGTTCTAAATGGTTCTGACGCCTTCTAAATGGTCCTAGACAGTTCTGACTGATTCTGAAGTGTTCCAAATAAATATGGAGAGTTCTAAATTATTCTACAGCGTTCTAAATTGTTATAGACAGTTCTGGATGATTCTGAAGCATTCTAAAGGCAGAAGAATGACAGCAACGTTGCCACATTTAAAATTTTATTATAAAAAACTTCTAAATACGGGGGTAACAGTGATATAAAATTGGTTTTTGTACTAATATTCAATTGATTTTGGTAGACCTATGAGTGTTTATTTTTCTTCAATTTATTACCACTTGAGGGATTACCAATGGAAGTTTCCCGTACGTGGAAACCTAATTCGATCCGGATGCACCTTGACCCGATTTCGGCTTCACCTTTGTGTTATGAACTCTTACGCGCAAAGTGATTAGGTGGAAGAAAAGACAAATTACCGGTTTTGGGCACGAAAATTATGGAAAAATTTCCCGGACGTCGTTAGAATGATATGTATGGGTTTTCTAATGGAAAACGGAAATGTGCTTTGAACGATAAGAGTCGATCGAATGTGATTAATAAGAACAAAAAAAAAACTTACCCTTAACGCTACGGGATTATTCGAGTAATCTACTGGTTGACACCTAAAACTATAGCTTCCCCACCAACCGCTCATCAAATACTAAAAAAGTGAAAAATAAATTATTACAGGGTGTTAATTAATTGAGTGTCGATATTTCTTAAAAATATCTGGAGTGAAATTTATGATAGAAAAGTAATTTTTTTTCTAAAACTGTAACACCCTGTAGCTCGAAAACTAAGAGGTTTAGGACATATATTGATATAAACTTTTCTTCTTAAAATCATCCAAATATTCACATCCTGATGTATCGGCACTCAATTAATTAAAATCCTGTATAGTAGATATAAAAATAGTGTCGAAACATCAATAAATTTTAATCGCTTTGATTAATTACTAATTTAATGCTGAACCTAGTTTGTCCCGATAAAATATTCCCTATCAAATTTATCGAACAATTTTTTTAATAAAAATTAAACACTCCAATATGCTATTAATAATGAAACGAAATTCGATAATCCACTTAACGATAAATTGACATTACTAATGCACGTATAATTTTGTTATGTAATAGTAGAATTTTGAGAATCAAAATTCATTAAACTTACTTCGTAAAATATCCACGCGCTGAATAACGTTTGAACGAAATTGTACACTATTAGCACGTTCCTAAGGTCCAGCGGCTTCCTATTTTCCATTAACTTTGGCCCTAAAACTTTGGAGAAATACGCGTAAAATATACATATTAGTAACGTTGGAACAGGACTAGACATCATCCACCATCCATTCACCCTTGGGTCTGGAACAAAATAAAAATCAATCAATATACAGCGTGTCTCAAACACGGTACATGCTGTATTAATAATTTAATAAGGCGAGCGAAGACGGGAAAAATACACTAAGGAAATTTCGTTTTATTTTAAAAAGCATTATTTGTCGTTTTACGAGCAAATCCTGGAATGCGGCCAAACTCCAATATCAGTATTACTGACAACATTGAGTTCATACATTCCATTTCAATGTAAAATTTACGATAAAGTAAATATTTTCCCGGGAAGTGTTCTATAAACAAGCGCGTAATGAAGCGTTTTCAAATTAACCTGTGTTTGTTGAAAATTAAACGAAAAAAAAACCTTTGTGTTATGCAAGCTATCGAAGTAATTACAGGGCGTAATTAATTTTGTGATACCCCGCTGTGGAAGATTATTTATTTATTGGTTTAATATTGGGTTTAGCATTGTGAAATAATAAAGATTCATGATTCCCACGCCGATGAAAACTTGAAATGTTCATCAACTTATCGAAACCTTATCGAAGACTTCCTCATAATTTATGAGTTGTTCGGTTTTATTGCCAATACATATAAAAGGCCTGATGAAGTTTCCATATACTACATTTCTTACCTTTACAATTTCGAGTAGGCAATAAACTATTAAAAAGATATCCTGTGACAAAAAAATATCCGGAATTTCTGATTTAAATTACCTGCACTTAATATTTTTAACTATAAATAATGGAACAAACATAATGAACTAAGAGTTTGTCTCATAGTTTGGGTTTTCAATGGAATTTCGTGGGCGGAATCGATGCAAATGTTAAAGGTGACTCTGTTTTATCGAAAACTCATTTTTACGATTGGTAGAAAACTTTTAAAAGACAGTCGGTAAGGAAATTGAGTTCGAAAATGATCAAGCTAGTATTTGAGAAAATTAAAAAAAATTAGGAATTTTGCGTTTTATTCCAATTTTTCGGGTACCGTTTTGTTACTGTGTACCTATGCGTTTTTAAAGTTAATTGAATTGAACTGACATTTGTATTGAAATTTCTACACCTAGGAGAGTAGTGTTTAAACTGTTTAAAGTGGATTTCTATTTTCAATCAACATTGGAAAGAGTGCAAGCATTTGCACGTATACTATAGGTTTATATTTTAATTACAAAAGCCATATCGTAGTCTAGACATTATTATTATTAGTTGGAAGCGCATGTATAAATTAAAGTTTAGATAAGTGTATCAGTAGGTCGAAACAATCGAAATATTCCAACGATTCGGCTCATTTTGTTTATAAATATTATCGAAATGCAACCACAAATCGTAACGTAGAAAAGCATCATCCTCTGCGAATTTAAATAACATACGCGTTGAGGCACGGATCTGTTATTTTCAAAATTTATCGCTGTAAAAATCTGCCTCTGTCGAAGTCTAAGCAAACAATACATTAATTTACGGTGGCAGAGGTACTGTTAGTTCCTTTTTGCGAATGCCATCACGTACTCAAACGACTACCGGACGCCTAATAAACCGAAGAAAACGAAAACCGTCTTTTCATCGCTCGACGGAACTAATTTGCAATTGAAATTCGATTCGTACGCATCTAGGTTTAGTTTTCTCTAATCGCAGAAGCGACAAACAGGTTTTCTTTAGGTGAAATTAATTTACAACTACCCCGAAGTTTAAGGGTTATACACCGTGCTTCATTTGCGATTGCAACATGGGCATTTCTATGAGTTAAACAAAGAGTTAAACAAAGAACAAATGTCACTCTTTCTTTTTCATTTATAAGTGTCTAATTGAGGTTGTCTTTGTTGCACCCATAGCTTATGTTGCAATGAAAAATAGAGCAACCTGTATAATAAAATCAGAAGAACTAACAGTAAACATAAAAAATACGTAATTAAAGTGGCTTGAATACTGATTGAAATAAACCACAAATTGAGGAAATAAAACCCGGAAATATCAATGAATTATTGTGTTTAAAAATTAATGAATTTAAGTAAACGAGTTTTGCGATTTTATTACGTCTCATTCCTTGTAATTTAAAAGTAACCTTATGTTTGTAGGAAAATTCTTAGACATTTGAATAAAATAATAATAAAAATCTGGCATCCTGTTAAACACCCTGATTAAAATTCGTAAATTAATTTAAACTACATAGAAATTTATTGTTCGAACAAAAAATAGCATAAATAATACCAATTGTATGAATTATAATGTACATAGGTATAAATTGAATTATTTACCCAGGCAAGAATGTGAATTAATTATACGAATTAGTTCCACAAAATGAGTAATTAATTATGTAAAGAGTATGCCGAGCCCGTTGGAAATGTATTGTTTGTCATATAGCGCACAGACAAACTGTCTACACACAAAAAAATGTATTATGGTAAATTAGAAATAATTACACTTTTTTAAATGAAATGGATGAACTTATATTTTTTTTGTACTCACCACTTTGCTTATCGAATATATCGTAATATTTTTCAGCTACGCTGGTAACTAGATGAGCCATGGTGATGTATCTGGAATAGAAAAATAAAAAATATAATCAAACGAAACCTCCGAAAATTGTTGAAGTTAATTTGGTTTGTAAGAGGCTACCGGCTTCTAAATTTAAATAGTACTTAAAAATTATTGACCAATAATTGGACCATTTTAATTTCAAAAACACCTTGAACTCGTTCTATTTAAATCTATGCATTAGATCTAAATAGGTGTACAATGGGTAAAATGATTCAAAAATATTAATATTGAATATTATTTCCCCCAACAATTGTATAGGACAGTTATAAGAAATTGTTGAAAAATTTGTAAAAATTAAAGGAAACAAATAACGAATTTACTCGTAATTGTATAGGTACAATAAATGCATACATAATGCATTTTTTGGATAATTACCCAGTAAGACTAATTCCAGATTATTGGTGTGCACAATAATTTACTTTTCTCTACCTACCTATTTTGAGATTACGGATACAAATGATTAAATAAGTTTGTAACAAATTATGAAATTGCCCATTTTTTGTATTTTTCAACTGTACCTAAGTACCTACTTATTCAAGACACATTATAATTACACATTTACAGCGGAATTGGTAAATTAAATATACGCATAGTCCATTCGGTCTTATTACTTATTTTTTTCGATTATTACCTACCCCCTTGTCACGCTGAAATGTATCTAATTAATTTCGTGTTACTTCTACGTTACTAATGATAAATGCGCTGCGACGAATTCGAAATTATTCTTACAATAAAATAAATGTTGCTTTCCTGCGCGCATAATTACAGATATTAACTGATTGAATCATTATTTGATTGGCAATTACAAAATTGCTACTTATTTAAAATTATTCAATAGGTAAATAAATACCAAGGTAATTAATTACATCTTTTCGATGAAATTGAGAAACCACATAATGGTGAAAATCGACAAAATCAAAGTCCAGGCAAAGCTCGTTTTTAACGCATTTAAAGCGACTATGTATCAATAATTAGTAGGTAAAAACCAACAAGGTCGAAATATCGACATCGTTCCAATAATTATTTTCACACTAATTTACATATTTCTTCGAAAATTTCTTTATACTTTCATACGCAGACGTAAAAAACACTGACCTACCTAAAAATAACTCAAGAATTGAGAATAAAAGTTGAGAAATAAACATCCTACTTGAGTTATTTAATATTTTCGAAACGTTACTTGATAAATGACTGACGCCAAAGGCAAAGATATTGAAAACTAAACTAGATTTCTGCCATAAATTGGGAAATTTACCGATTAAAATTTTTTTATAAATTTTCTTGATATCCAACAAAATGCGTGAATGAAAAATATTCGCACAATGGGAGTTGAATATCGGTTTGGAAATACGAAGCATTTTGCACAAACATCCAACCTTGAAACGGACCGAATTCGCAGGACTAGTAACACACTTTTCGCAGTGAAATATTTTAGAAGAAAGTGAAAGTTTTCATCGAATTGCCCACCAACTCCGCCGGTTACAACATTATCGACACATGCACATTTATGGGCAATTACAGGCATTTGTAGGCGCTCATCAAGTGCAAGAATGTCTATAAAGGAGTTGCAGATATGTGAATAATTATTTTCATGCCTGCATAAAAGCAGTTTATCGAGAAGAATATAAACGGACCCGAATCGTTTGTATATGAAGTTGTGCAAAAAAATTAATTCAGCAAGGAAATTCCAATTTTCTCGATAGTGTGCACACACCATTACGTAAGATATATTAGCAGATCAGATGCACGTAAAAATTGCGCTTTCTCTCATGCAATTATATCGGTTTTTACATAACGGATACAAAACGAAAAAAATTAATTTTAGAACAAATTAATTCGTGGAAAGCGAAAAATCGAAAAAAAAAGTCCCGAATTGCGAAACGAGCACAAATAAAATAAAAATTGTAAATGCAATGACTTACTAATAAAAATTCGTATTTTGCACAATTTCTCCGGGCCGAGACTTCTAACCGACTAAATGCAGTCCTCAATCGGCTACCGAATTTATGTATGCACAAATTGTAAGCAGATAATTAACAATTATATTAAATTACATTACATTACAATCGTCTTGTATTGATAAGGCAATAATCGATGTTACATTTCAACTGACATACGACAAGGAATCAGGACCGTCATTTCGGAAAATCGACACTTTTTTCTTCTTGTTTTTACATTCACGCATTAAGGGAGCATTCAGATAATTTCTATTCAATTTAATCACACTGTGTAAGAGTTTCTAGTCGCCTGATTATTGTAACAGAATCTTATTGAAAATTTAATCGTTTAAAATATTAATAATTTGCTAAAATGCGGCAAAATATTCACCAAGTATTGTAGTTAAAGTTTACCTCAGCAATAAAAAGTTTCTAAGGCCTCTAAAGTTTCTAAATTGCTTAGAGAAAATTGCATTGCAAAAGAAAGATTTTTTAAACTATATTCAATAAATGCACTGTCGTTCAAAAAATTTACATACTACATATTGATTTATTGATATCTGTATTTAGGTCTATCATCAGGTTTATTTTTCTTGAGACTTAATCAAAAACGTCTTAAAAAACATGTTTTTATTGAAGAATATGTCACGTTAAATCGTATTAATTGAAGTTAAGGTCGGGTCATTCGAACCATTTAATATTTTAATAAATTCTAATTTAGGCAATTTTTGATAAATATTTACGAAAATTTAGTGTACTTATGCACTACAATGGTTCGTCGCTAATTTAGGTTAATTACTTAACAAAATTTTCATATAAGGAAAACTAATTTTATTATAATTTTCTATTAGCTACAACTTAATTGCAATGTAAGTTGGTGATTTATTATCATCGCTTACAAATTCGCATACTACCTGTTCGATTCAATGTTTATTGTTATCGCAACGAAAATTTACAGCTTTGATATTTTATTTATATTGACCAAAGAAAATAAACTAATTATAGAAAAATATAATCGAATAACAATGTAATTGGTTTACTATTAAAAACCTTGTAACAGATACCCATGCGGGGGTCACGGGTGACTTTTTTACCTGTTTACTAATATGGAAAAATTCTGTAACCATTCGCAAAGCATCATATTAGGCAATTATTCCTCATTACCGATCTGATAAAATTGGTAATTGAAGTAAATAGAAAAAATTGTCCCTAGAAAAATATGTTAATGGTTTAAAATAATTAGCAATTATAGGTACCAACTAGAGTGAGAAATGCCTTTATTTTTTATATGGGATAGTTGCGAAAATGACCTACGATAAGGTATACAAAAAAATTATTTTCGCTTAATTGGTGTGAATAAATCAATTTCTGTGTAAATGGGATTTAAAAAAATACGGAAAACTTAAAGAATTTTAATGGTTTATCGTAAAATTAAAACTGGCCGTGGAATTTTTATTTAAATTTTGCCAAAAAATGTATGTTATTGTTGTGAAGCATAATAAAATAAGAATAAATAAATTCTCAAATCCAATTTACAAAATTATAAATTTTAGAAAAAATAAATTTTACAATCCTTCGAAACACTAATAAAAGTAACATTTTATCCGTCATTTTCGTATTAAAAAAAGTTGCTAGTTTAATGGGACAAATTAAATTTAAAAAAATACTGTTTACCTTGAAAACGGGTAAAAATCACATGTAGTATGTATTTCTGGTTAGTTTTTAATCTTTTCACCTTATATTCTAGTAAATTAATTTGAAATACATATGTACATACAATGCTACAATAACAACTATTCGTTCCGAGATTAGTGACAGTGACACCAATGCCATATGACAAATGCCAAATTATCTGTCAAATTGAAAAATTCAAAATTTCAGAAAATCTAGGCAGTTAAAAAACTAGCGTAAATGATTCGTTTTTCTTGACTTTACAGTGTTATTTTTTTTAAGTTTTATTTTCAAGTAATTTTTTTTAAATCATCCAAATATTCACATCCTGAAGTATCGGCATTCAAATTAACACCCTGTATAGGTTGGTTCATTTTAGTTAAGGTGGGTACTTGGTATAAAATTTTTTGAAAAAATCCTTCCCGGAAAAGTTTTACCCCTCCGAAGATTGAAAAGAAAAATGTTTTTCATTTTTATTTTCCCTCTATATTAGACTATACGAAGACACGAAACTTGGGAAAATTATTTGTCAATGAAACTACAGATTTTGAAATTTTTTCAACCCTGAAGTAGGCTTAGAAGTGGTTGAAATAGTCAACCCCTAAGACATTTTTTCTGTAAAAAAATGTAGTATGTTTCCAGATTAATTATACAGGGTGTCCCAATGAAAAGTAGCTCATTTACTCAGCTTATAGGCTAACTTTTAAACGCCTTATCATAAAAACATGAGGTTAGATAAATTTTATTTTGTTATAAGTTTTGTTACAGTGACGCACAATTTATTACCAGTAAAGGGAGATCAAAATCCTCAAACCAAAATCTTTTAAATTCACAGAAACCATTTTTGCAAACTACCACCCCTAAAATTTAGTGCCATAAGTTCGAAACCACCCTGTATAAGTAGAGGTATTTTGAAAGATCTGAAAGATCTCTTCTACTTTTCATAAATTTATTATTTGTACATGTTATTCTACAAAAGAAGGTTTGCCATATTATAAAATTTGAGTATAGGAATTGAAAAAAGGGCATTTTGATAAAACCCCCTGTACAGGTGATACAATATTTTTGTGTCAAAAACTATCGCAAAATTATAAGCTGATTAAAGGCGCTATTTTTCATTGGGACATCCTGTATTGTGCTAATATGTAATGCATTAAAAATTAAAAAAAAAACAAAACAAGCCACTTTACTATCAACAAATGCTTGCCCTACTCGACCCCAAAAAATCGCTTCGAGGAAGTCGAGTCGGCATCGATCTTGGGAGTAGTAAAGTTAGGTTAGGAAACCACAGCTAAATTTACAGCATAATTTACCGATTAAATTCCAACGAGAAACTACAACAAACCAGCACGTGCTAACGAAAAACCAAAAATCACACCCACTCGTCACCGAAACCACGCGTATTTTTAGTAATCCTAATGCATTAACTCCGAAACTATCTTATGCATAATCGAGCTACTATTCTTATCAACTCGAATGTTAAATAAAACGATAGTTAAACCGTTATCTCCAATTAGATCTCCAGTGAATTTAAACGATTACTTTAACTCACCTTAGATCAGAAAACCGGGATCACACACAATTCTCCCGCACTGCAATCACCTGAGACTATCGTATTAACAAAAATTTCAGCCCGCCCGAAACCGGAATTCGCAAAATATTCACGAAATAATCTTCGAATACCGCTGGATCGAACGAAGAACTCGAACTCGACGTTGTATAAAATAATATATCACTTTGTTGAACACATCGTTTGGGTTTTGTGTTATTTTTTTTCGGATTTTTCGGTCGGTTCTCGCTCGATTTTCCGATAGGCGTTGGAATCGGTAAAACGCCTATGGTGTGTGCGACGATGACGAATCCACGACTCGTTCTCGCTCGATTCGATATATCTGGGATTCCGGCGTGTCGGTTTCGTGTTTGGGCGAAATGGGAAAAGCAGTTATATATAAGCGTTCGGGTTTTAGGCGGAAACGCGCGAGTCCGAGCTCGATTTCGGCTCGAATAGTCCGGGGGATACGGGACAATTGGTCCGATACACGGGAGAATTAGTCCGATCTCTACTGAGTTCATTGTAAAGTTCGTACGTTTTACAATGACAATGTAGTGTCATTTTTAGTAATTTCCACGCAGTGCGAAATTTTCCTAGTGCCAATGTTAATTCTGGCATTTGACTTTTGACATTTGGCATTTGGCATTTGAGCGTTCTAAATGATTAATTTCTAAATGATTTTGGAGTGTTCTAGATTGATCAAGACAGTTTTAAATGATTCTAGACAGTTTTAAATGTTTCTGGAGCGTTCTAAATGATTCTAGAGATAGTTCTAGATGACTCTGGAGCGTTCTAAATTATTCTAGATAATTCTAGATGACTCTGGAGCGTTCTAAATGATTTTGGAGTGTTATAAATTCATCAAAACAGTTCTTTCCAGTAGATTATTCGAGACAGTAAATGATTCTAAACAATTCTCAATGATTCTGCAACGTTCTAGATTCAATTCTAAATGATTCTGCAGCGTTCTAGATTCAATTCTAAATGATTCTGCAGCGTTCTAAATGGTTATAGACAGTTTTAAATGATTCTGGAGAATTCTAAACGATTCTAGACACTTCTAAATGATTCTGGAGCGTTCTAAATGATTTTAGACAGTACTAAATGACTTTGTGACTAATGTGACTTTATTAATTTGTAAACGTTGAAAGTAAACATAATCTTAAATTTAATGTTTCTGTCATATAAACGAGATCAATTAGAACCCGGCAACGTCGCAACAAGATGGCTGGTGACGTCATTGTCATTTTAAAACCTACGAACTTTAGTTATCAATTCCATCAATATATTTGAGTAGTTACCAAAAAACTAGTACTTTATTAAACTAATAAGTATCGAATGATTTGAGTGATGATTTGTTTAATTTATGATTAGAATCTTTGGCTCTTCATGCCCCTATCGGATATACAGTCATCAGTCGACAAACCATGACGTAATGAGTTCAATTCACTTCAATTCCCTGAAATGTACAGGCGTGTGATATAAGTTCTATGACGAAATGTCCTTTAAAATTCTTTAATCAGGTGCTGCAAAGAGGATTAAAATGTAAGCTCTTTCGAAGGTTCTGATGATAATAGTGACATTAAAGTATTTTCATAAAATAGATTAGAAAAACCTTGCAGATGCAATTATTCTGCCAGGTGCTGGGACTGAAAACGAAAAAAAATTGCAATTCTGAGACTTGAAAATAAAATACTAAATTACTCTGATTGTTTTGCATTAATTTCGGAACGTCTTGCATATTTATTATATCATACACTACAAAAATCTGCTTCCCATTACTCTAAAACCCTTATTTACATATTATAACATTCTTACTAGATATTTTTTAGGCATAAAATTTAACAAAAATTTCTTCTTGTTTTTCCAATTTTATTTTTTTGAATCCTGTATACTTACACTAGAATGCTCTGGAATTCGAGTTTGGAAATTCCCTGTATATTTCTAAACAACATCAAACGGAATATTGAAAATTATAATCGCGAAAAATGTAAACAGACTGGCTTTTAACAATAACTGATTGTTTATTGTTATGCGCTTTTCGTATGTATATTTATCGGAAAATAGTAGAACTTTGACATTGCATTGACACAAGTGTTAAGGATGAAAAAAATTAAAATAAATTCCTATACATTGCACGTGCATGGAAAAAAGTTTATATCTTGTAACCTATGGAAAGAGATAGTAATTAGTAAGTTATTAAAGTAATTAAATTCTCCTAATTGATGTAAAACGTTTATTAATCCTAAAAAACTTCAAGGGACATTGTATGCAAATCAAATTTTTATTTGTTGGAAATTTAAAAACAATAAAATTTTGATTTCAACCCATTAATTCTTAATTGGATTAATGTGCATAAATTTCGGAATTTCGCATAAAATCGCGAATTAAAATCGCAATTACGACCGAATAAGAAAAAAAGTTTCTATTGTCGACAAATCGCTACATCGCCATGCTGATTTTTATTAATTTATTATCTCATTATTGCGAACTGTGGACGCGTTACTTGTGAAAGTACGCTTTACTTTATTGCGGGGAGTACTTACGCGTACCCGCCGATACGGATTATTTAATGTTATTAGTGAAAGTCCGTGTGCGGCAATTGTGTTTTTATTGCACTTAATTTAGTTTTAAAAAAATCGTATCGTACGCCGATTCGTTTAAGATTTTTGTCGCTCTGAATGGCAAGCTGAATTGCCCGCAAACAAGGAACAGATTTTGTCTATATCAATGATTCTTGGTTTTTTTTAATGAATTATTTAATGATTTTTTTGTGCGTCTTATGTTTATCACTTAATGCATTTTTTTGTTTAATTTTTCCATTTGCCTACTAATTTAATTAGATTTTTTAATGTTTTTTTAATATGGACTATTAATGGATTAGATAAAACTTAATTGGCTTCCTGTCAAAATCCCTAATTCAAATTTAAAATCTCAAAACCTATTACATACAGGGTGTTAATTAATTAAGTACCGATACTTCAGGACTATAACTATTATCACTTCTTATTACTCCAGATATTTTTATGAAATTTTGAATACACTTTTGAGCATTTTTTGAGGCAAAAGATTAAAAAAAAATTATGAGTGACGTCCGTACGGAGTTTGAACCATAGACAACATACTAACCTCTTAGTTTTCGAGCTACATGGTGTTACAGTTAAAAAAACTTCTCACAATTTTTTTATTATTTATATTTCTAGATATTTTTATGAAATTTTGTACACACTTTTTATTAATTTAGGAGCATTTTTTGAGGAAAAAGATTTTTGAAAATTTTCACCAGTGACGTCCGTATGGGGTTTGAACTGAATATGTTTGAAGAAAAAATGGCACGCTACTGCTTTTTCTAAAAACCAAAATTATTTTTAAATTCCTCATTAATTATGTAGCAAATTCGGTCAGAAGACTTACTTTCGTACGACGCACCATTTTCGCGTAAAAAAATAAAAACAATTTTTGCCAAGTTCATTGAGATTGCTTATATTTTGTTGAAATTTGGTAGGCGCTCACCAAGCATGGAAACATATTTTTTGGGCTACAAATTAATTTTCTTCTATTACTAGTAATAATAAGAAAATTATGATTTTTGAAAAGTTTTTTTTAACTGTCACACCCTGTAGCTCGAAAACTAAAAGGTTTAGGACATATGTTGAAATAAACTTTCCTTGTCATAACCAACTAAATATTCACATCCTGAATACCGGCACTCTATTAATCATAAATAACTCTATAACACCCTGTATACTTAGACAATTTTCTGAATATTTTTACCTTAAATTATTCGTTCACAATATTATTGTGACGCCATCTATGAACAGTTGGCTTATTAAATCTTATCAATTTCTATACTATTTCATTACGAATTTATACGACTTCACAAAAGAGGACCATGAAAAAAATTTTTTACTTAGATATTTTTGAAATTTTCGATCCAATCCTGGATATTTTCAATTATTATTAATTTGTTCTACTATAGAATTTCAATAAACGGTATATTTTATGCACATTAATTACCTTTGTGAAAGCAATTAATTGTTACTTTTATTCATAAATTCATAAGACACCTTTGTTTAAAAATATTTTCGAAAATAAAACTACGCATATAATCAAAATAACGTTTATTTAACAAATACAAGTACGAAAACACGCGTCGATGCTTCGGCAGAATGTAAAAAATAAATACAAAAATTTCAAACTAAACTAAACGTTACGCTAATCAAAAAAATATTAATTATATTATAATTAGAACGAAAAGTCGTCTCGTTTTTAACGAGAAGTACCTACACAATTCAATTAATTAATAACTAAGATAAATTCAATCTATCGTCACATGAATAAAAAACCGAAATTTATTTAAATAATCGACTCAAATAGAATAGCTTTTAGAACAAAAAAATGTTCATTAAAATTTTGTTCATATAATTTTTCATTTAATTTAGGTAGTTTTTTTTTGTATAAAAATTGAGCAAATTGTACAAGATGCATTTTGCATTAACTATAACCTAACGTTTCCTACAATTAGGCATCCTTATTCGTTAAAATATTTACAAAAATCGATCAAACAATTTTTAAATGCAACGTAAAACTGGTCATTCGAAATTGATCAATCACTAAACGCTCCAAACAAAAAAAAAATGAAATCCAGTATACGCAACTTCTTCAACATATAGTTAGGGACCAATCGAAACTGTCATTGCAAAGGAAATTTGTTTAAAATATCTAAAAATTTACCGCAAATACGCCCTCGTACCCGCCGCACCCCGTTAATTACATTAAAATTGTGATGACGATCCTACGCGATGGCCTGCCGGGATTACTTCCCGTTGGGAACGAAGGCCCTGCTCCTCACGTTCCTCTTCTCCTCCGACGAATATCCATTCGAAGCCGGCTTCACACCATTCTTGACGCCATTCTTGACGCCATTGTGCTCGTACAGCGCCGTCTGGCTGGTGAAGCAGATCCCTATTTTCTGGTTACCGTTAGACTCGACTCCGTTCTGCGCTTTTCCATTCAATGCCTAAACAAGAAACCGATTATCAGAAGCATAATTAAGTTTATACGACGCATATGGAGCCAAAAGAACCAAAAGGAAAAGTCCAGGAAGCGTTGTCGTTGGTAACACCTTACCCTAGCTTTGGCAGCCTCTCTTTCCCTCTTCCTGTTGTAAGTTTCCTTGTAGAAATTGGAGAACAAGAAGTAGAACATGACGGCGTGCATGCCGATCCACCAGACGAACGCCTTGGGGTAGTTGCAGTCGATGAAGAGCAGCTGGAAGGCGTGCACCATCACCAAAACGAATTGTATCTGCAACGGTAAATTGAATTAGCGGAAGGTGTCGATGGCGCTTCGTAAGTGGCAACTCACCATTTGGATGGCTGTCAGGTACTTCTTCCACCAGAGGAACTTTTGGTAGGACGGGCCGAGGGCGGCGAGGAAGTAGTAGCTGTACATGAGGATGTGGACGAAGGTGTTGAGGAAGCCGAAGAAGGTCGAGTGGCCGCCGGGGGTGAATTTGACGCCGAACCACACCGACATCGGCATGACGCCGTGGTGGATGACGTGCAGCGTCGAGACGTGGTCGTATTTTTTGCGCAATACGAAGAAAAACTGCAAATTATTATCGTTATTATTTTATTTATCTATATCATATTCATTAATAACTGCTAGAATTAGAGGCCTTGAGAAATAAGGACTTCAAGTAGTAAGAACCCCGAGGACTGTGGACCTTAAAACCAAGGACTTCAAGAAATAATGACTGTATATGAAATTTAAGTATTGGTGACTTTAAGAACTGAGGACATATGAACTTTATAGATGAAGGAATTCAACTATTGGTGACTTCACAAACTAAGGACTATATAAACTATAAAGATTAAGAAATTAAAGTATTGGTGACTTCAAGAACTGAGGACTATATGAACTTTAAAGATTAAAGAATTCAAGTAATGGTGACTTCAAGAAATGAGAATTACATGAACTTTAAAGTTTAAAGTATTTAAGTATTTGTGACTTCAAGAACTGAGGACTATATGAACTTTAAAGATTAAAGAATTCAAGCATTGTTTACTTCAAGAATTGAAAATTCTATGAACTTTAGAGGAGATTAAGGAATTCAAGTATTGGTGACTTCAACCAAAAACTTCCATAATATTGACTTGAAGGTTTAAAAATCTCAACAGTTTACTTTGATTTCAAAAACACTTTCTCGCCTTACTAATGGCACATCAATATAGGTACTTATTAATTAACCACTTAATACCAATTTGTAATTCAAAACAATTACAATTATTTATAATAATTGCTCTTGAGAGCGACCATTTGAACGACCCGTGACGCTACTCGATGTAATTAGGAAAATAATTCAATACCGGTAAATATTGTAAATAATGAAATTGAAATTTGCTCGTCTATTAACTGCATTTACGTGGATGTTTAATTGAGCGAGCACCACTTACCGTGTCTAAAAATTCAGTGAACTTCGATATGTAGTACCACCAGCAACCTCGCGCCATCTGAAATACCAAGAAAAATAAATAAGCGGATTTACGCAGTATATTTGAAAGCAAATATTGCGACATTTTCATCTCAAGTTAGATGCACTTATGAGCATTATATCACAAATTACAAATCATTGGGACAATGACTAATTGTAGTACAGAAAATTGGAGGTATAAACAACGATATTTACTTTCTATTTTTAAAGGGATTCGTAGAAGATTTGAATAAAGAGATGCTTGTAGCGAATTAATTTATTCTGTATGGGTGGGTCTCTTCACATATTTGCCCAGTTTTGTTTTCTCAAATAACAATAAATCACTAATGGTACGCACTTATAATGTAGTGAATTATAATGAATTAGAAATAGTAAGAATACAATCGAAAATTAGCGGATTAAAAAATAGAAATCAAGCTAAAAATAGCGAGATTGAGATGAATCTTAAATATTTTTAAGTCTGGGAAAAAGGTTAATCGGCACTTCATTACCGAATCCAAATCCGACTGATTAAACCGGTATTCATTTAGTGTAGGTACCTACCATACTATTAACGTCAGTTGCTTTATTTATTTGAACCATTAATCACATTTTAATTGTATTCATATAAATTCATTCAACTTTTTCGTATTAAATTAACATAAACAGTGCATCTTTAGTGTTTTAGGGGCAAGACAATAAATTTTAACACAAAACTAACTCATATTCTCCTAAAATTTGACTTGCAAATTCAATTATTTTTATAATTTTTGTTAAGTAGGTATAGCGCGATGAAAATATTTGTAGATTCTTTTATTATTTAAAAGCAATATCTACAAATATCTTTGCCAATTTAAAACTTACCCTCATTGCTAGGGGTGACCTAGAGTAATCCACCGGTTGGCACCTATAACTGTAGTGGGTGAACCATCCTGCCACGCAACTCTGCAACGAAAAAACGATACAATTTGTATAATTACCGCAGCTTTATTTGCTCACCTCGTAGAATAACCATGTGCTGAATATCACTTGAAACAAATTATATAAAATTATCACACCCTTGAGTTCGAAGGGTTTCCTATTTTCCATGTACTTCGGTCCTAAAACTTTGACGATATACACGTAGCTCAAGCAAATGCCTAACGTGTAAAATGGGGAACTCATTAGCAACCAATCGTTGACCCTTGGATCTGAAAGGGAAAGGAAAAATGTCCCATTAATTCATATATCCCATAGAGTAGGTTGATAATTAGTAGTCACTAATTCCATAATTGTTTGTTTTTCATTAATGTTTTCCACTTTCTAACGAAAGAATTGTTAGTTACTAGAACGACAGGTGCGATTCGACACGTGCATACGAAATTTTGGAGCCGGCTTTTGGTTGAAACGCTGTACCGAAATGTCCTCCAGCCAATGTTGTCCAGTTTTCGTGAAATGCAGGTGAAAAAGGTCGACTTACAAGGATGGCGAGAATTACCGTTTCCTTTCGTCCGATTTTTCGGATCGTTACTGGTTTTTTTTACTTCTGTTTATTACATGTTGTAGGATTAATTAATTAGTTTTTTTAATATGATTTATGTTCGAGTTGATTTACATGTCTTCTGGTCTACCAGTGCGTAAAACAGTTAGAAAAATATTAACGAAACCAAGCCAAATTTGTATAAATTATTTGACAGTTTTATTAAGTCATAAGTAGGTACATCTATAATTTTTATATTAGGTAACGCCTCATCTATATCTAAACCATTTAATAAAACTGACGTAATAATAAAATACGCATGAGAAAATATATTTAATTACAGATGCATAATTGAATGGAAAAATTTAACTGCTAGGCTAATTTTGTAAATAGAAAAAAATCGTTGTAATTGAATAATTTATGAAGTATATAAACATCTTTTCGATGTATATCATAATATGTACCAAACAAAACAAAAAAATGCTAATAAAACTATCTCAAACAATAATTGATACAATTTTTGAGGTGACTTCCGCTTAACTGTTTAAAGCCCCCGTTTTCAACAATCAGAACTAACGAAACGCGGCACATTTATTAACGAATTAAATTTTGTTTATAAAGCATTAATTACCAGATTTGTTCCTAATTAACTGCCATACTTTCGATTTCTTGGACTTTATAACTCCAACTGAAAACAGGGCTAATCTCTAACGGCCATATATTCACCAATGACTGTGAAATCGCTAACAGAGAGATAGGTTCTTATTATATAGTTATTACTTAACAGTCGGATAAAAGTAACAGAGCAAAATCAAACTGTTAGAAGCTCATCCAAAATGGATGATATCTACAATCCAAATGTCGAATTTGTCGAAAAAGTTTTTACGATTATAACAGTGACATGTAACATTTTAATTTTATAGGTACCTAATATAATGGAGCAGTTAAATAAAATAGAGTTTCACGAATTGTTCAATTTATCTTTCGAATATAGCAATAGAAATAGATATTAAATATTAGACATAAATATTCCTAAATAGAACTTAAAAATAGGTTCAGATTGAAAAAAAGATTCGGGTTAGATGGAATATACGCTGGATTACGATTATAGTTATTTACTTCTTTAAATTTACAAATTTGATACTAATTTATACTAATTATACTAATTTAGTAATTTGTGGTTATGAGCGTAACTGCAACTATAGGAAAATAAAAACTACCGAACAATTTTTTACGACTTTTTACGTCAAATAAATCACACCTATAATATGGCGCCGGTGATTCAAGATCGAACATAAATCTTCCATATGCTAGAAAATTTGTTATTTAAAATAATAAATTAATAATTTAGCTAATTCCTACGACACGAAAAAAATTGCAACGTTTATGCAAAACGTAAAGGTGCACAAAAATACGACGACCTCGATGCGAAATTGCATTCCTCTTCGACGAAACGGAAATCCCAAAAGACGTAATCGAACGAGAATATAAAACCATAAGATCTTACCGCTTTTATTGTCCATAAGGTCGTGGTAACCATCCACGATATTTCTTATTATTAGAGCCATGGTGGTCCGTCAATCTGAAATAGATAAACAGAGAATTTGAATAAAATAAATTAATTATGTAGTTCTGTTTTAAATTGTATATGGTGTTAGTTCTCTTTACCTACTTATTGTTAAATTAATCGTGTGGATGTATACATGAAAAATGAAAGACTAGGTACTTTAATTGACGACAATTAAACTAAAAGAGAGCGTTCGAAAAATTGTTAGTTTTCACTTCGATTCTTGCCACCATATCCTGGTGGCCATTTTCGATAGATTGCTCGAATATAAATAAACGCTCTTGCAACTGTAATTGTTGTATCGATATTTCTCGTTGAATAATCTCTTATGCAACTAAGTTTTTTTAATTTAATGTCTTTTATCAGTAGATACAACGCTTAGTATATTTACAAGACATCGAAACATGTAACCATCATCAGACATGATTAATTGACAAACCAATCGATCATCAGATTATAAAAAACAGACAAACTATGTATTAATATGTGATTATAAAGGAGTTGTGTAAGTTACTAGTTAATATGGTTTGTGTCCCAATAAAAGGTAAATTCAGTTCGGAATTTAAAGGACCAATTTCCAAATCTATATGTTCTGCGTATATATTTATTCGAGAGGCGAATTGAGTAACCGGCATTTGAATAAAAAAATAGCGTCGAAATCGTTGCGAAAAAACAATCGGCCAATTAGTAAACTTGATCTCGATTTTGAGAACCTGAAATCGGTTTATTAGTTTGCTTTTTAAAACGGCCCTGCTTTACATTTTACTGCCCTTGAATTTTTCTTCTCGGTTTTCGCGCGCGGTGAAAAAAAGCCTCGCCAGAGAAAGAATTAATTTAAGGTCGTTCGCTAAGAAACCGACAATTACATTGTAAAATGTACAGTTTATCTTTGAAAGCGAAATTTTCTGATCCTATACATACGAGTACTTATTTATTTGCAAATGTTTATTTCTAATTAGTCATCGATCGAATATTGAAAATGATTGACACTTTAATCAGAAGTTGCAAATTTGTTTAGCAACGCGAGCTCAATTTTGAAGTTTTAATTAAATAATATTGTTGAATTTTTAATCACTTTCGTTAATAAATCATCTTCGTAGGCAGATATTGGCTCTTTTATGCAGACTACTGACGACTCTCATTGATATATTACAACAACCGGCTCTTTTGAGATAAGTTTCAATTATTTGCAGTTACTCTGAAGGTTTTTCAAAAAATTGTTGCATCTGTGAACAATGCGAAGATAATAAGTGTGTCTAAAGGTGTGGCGAATCGTGCGTTAAACATCCGATAATCGTGCATATTTTTATGAATGTACCATCCAAAAATACGTAGATTTCTTCTAATGAAGGTCAGTATCTCGCCATCGAGCAGTAGGCGAGAAGCGGTTCTTTCTGAATTCAATGATTAGTGTACCTAATTGCATCCATAAAAATAAAAGATTTTTTAGGAAATTGGTAATTTCTATGTTTGGTTGGACGGCCTGGGTGTGGATGCTTTTAGAAATTCATTTTATACGGAATAAAAAATAGCGAATTGCGGTATTTCGGTCGAATTTTCGATCCACAAAAGGAAAAAACGCGCCTTAAAATTATATTCGAACGTAAAACTTCGCCTAATTATGCCAAGTAAATAATTACCAAACGCAGGAAGGACCAAAAAAACTACCTGATGTATACCGATAATTATAGCAGTTTCTGGCAATTTCGCCGTCAAAACAATCAATCACATCAGCTAAATTAATGAAACCCAACAGTTTCACAAAACGAATTGCGCGAGAGAACGAACATTACGAATGGTTGAATTTTTTTAGACAATGATCGCATGAGATATCTCCACACATGGTAGGTCGGAATAAATTTTAAAATATTTTTTTTCCAGTAACGCCTCTATTTCTATCTTTTATCTCTATATCCATTATTCAAATATTATATTTTCGAACCGTTATTTTTTTTTTAATAAGTATAGAGATTTATAGATTTTAAACGTCAGTAATTAATTGTATAATTCTGTATATAAATAATAGTTCATTAATATTAAGGAGAAATATGAGATTCAATTAATTGGACTTTTCTCAAGAATTGCCAAATATGAGATTCAATCTATAGACATCAGCACTTTTTCTTTTTAGGTAATCTTTAATATTATTAATAATATTCCTTCTATTTGCAAACTTAATCTTATTTCATGAAAGTTTTTGATTTTAGATAATTAAAACCACATGTACAGTTATAGTTATAAATACGAAATAATTGCTAATACGATTAGTACACCTTGAGAACAATTGCACAATATCATTATAAATATCACTTTTACTTATTACATTTATTACAGTACCGCAATTCATAATAACGATGCATTTTTTTCTTACATTTTTTATTACTATGTTTTCGTTAGTCGGATGTAATTAATGAAAACTACGACCTATCGTAAGCATTGATGAAACCTTCGATCGCTCTATCTATATTTATTTATTAAAAAATGTATTAAGGTTGGTCATGTATCTGTAATTATATTTATATTTAAAAAAAAGGTCAAGATAAAATTTTATAATGCCGAGTGAAATTTTATATTAAAAATTTTCCTAAACACAATAGATCGAAATGAAATGAAATAATTAAATATGCCTTTAATGCTCATGGGAGAGGCGTGTTTATTTTATCTTGTGAAACTCCCCGAAAATCCCCCGGAGCTGAATCGTAATGAATTAATAAATTTCTATTAAATATGAAGATTTATTACGCAGGGACCTTGTTCTTTGAGAATCTCTCAATTTCACAAGCCCATATCTAATTCCACCCATATGTCGTAACTGTGTTTGCCGTCGGTGCGGTCCTTTGAATAAAATTAGTAAAAATCAACGCGAAATTGCCAAATACAATTGTTAATTTTCATGGTCACCTATCGACGTCTGACCTTTTCTCAATACGAGACTCATCGTCTCATCTCATTGATTTGAATTTTTCGGCGAATATTCTAGTTATGTAACGTTTGTATAATGGGAAAATGCGATATCATATTACACCAATAGGACTCAATGAAATATTTCGATAATTAGGGTCAATAGCAATCCTCAAAAATCAAAAAAATTTACAATATATTAGCTAAATAACCCCTTAGTAACCACAGCAAGGGCAAATCCTTATTCGATAGCAAATAACTAGCGAGCACAAGCGCAATTTTCCGATTTAATATCATTAACGAAACGAACGAAGGTCGAATAGCATCACCACATAATCCACCATTGTGCATCAGCACAGAATTCGATCTTTAGCTTAACATTTTAATTGAACGAAAAACCTGTTGTATATAAGAGACCGCAAGTGCGTCTAAAAAGTATGTCAATATTCTAGTTCGCATTGCGATGTATCGAAACGAAATGGAAAGTGCTATATTATGAATGTGTACGATACTGATAGCGCGTAGATCAACAATCTAAACGAATCTGAATTTACTATCGTTTAATAATAGAGCCGGAATGTTTCGTATCGAAAGGAAGTTTACGATTCGATTTAATTCGCGAGGAAAAAAAAATCGAAAATCCACGTTTATCGTTAGAATATTGCGATGCAGATTAAATCGACACCGGGACGTTACGTCGAAAACGATAATAGCGACAATAGAGTTAATTTTCGTAGACAATTATTAATTTTATCGGCGCTGCAGCAGCTGTGCTTTCGTAATTTGCTGGTTTATTAACAGATTTTGTTGAACGTTTCCTCTGCGGTTTTATTGCTAATTAGAAATTGTTTAAGATTTCATATCGACGTTTTGTTATACCTATTTTATTATAGTACAGTAATATTATATTTTGCAGAACGCATTCATAAAAGATTGGTAAAAATATTCATTTTCAGAGTTATTTTGATAGATTTTTTGTCGACGTAATTAGAAGAAGATATGAATAACTGTATAGAAGAATGATGTGACATATTTTTAGAATTCATATTTTTTTATAGTACCAACATCTATTAATAGCATTAAAACAATAGTACACATACCGGGAAGTTAAAAAAATTGCATATTGCACATAATAATACCATTTATATGTCCAGCATTTATCTAAAAAGACAAAACAACGCATCCTTCACCTCAGCGGATCGAAATAAATTTAAAACTCTACGTTTGCGTATTCAGCTCTCATACGATACGTATAATAAAACTGACAAATTCATATAAGTAACATTATTTTGTAAAATAATGAAATGCACGTTATAACAGAGATGAAGAATTTTCTGACTAGTGCACAATGCGTACACTGAAGCGCGTCGAGTTCCAAGTTGACACCTTAACACTTCCAATTTTATGCTAAGGTCAATCATGGACAGGTTTCTAACGCTACTTGACCATAAATGAAATTCCTACCAGTCGGGATTCGCGTTGGTTTTTTTTTCTATTATCTCATTTTATCTAAACATTAACTTACAAACAACAGAGAATCTCGAGATGATAATTGTTATTTTACAACGATGTGCGTACGAAAATCACGTGTTAAATTACTAGAACCGCGGTTTCTTCAATACAAATGACTATAGAAGGAAAAATCCCGCTCTTCGCGCCAATTCGACGTCGAACAATCTTTATTTTTAACGTAATAACCAAATATTTATCGAGAGATCGAATAATAGTGTCAAATTCAATGTCGCAGTTAACTTTTTTTTTTCGTTCGGCCTCTAATTGCCACATCCTCGGGCTAGGTTTATTACGGCCGTAATTCGATTGATGCAATTCGATCGAACGGAGTAGCAGAATGAAAACTAAAATTAAATTGATAAAAAAACGCAGTAAATTCGGCTCGATTACATTGAATAACAGAGACGTACCCACCTCAATCGATTAAAAAGCTTAATTTCCAATAGGTGGTTGAGTAGCCCTAAAATTTGAGCCTACAATATGTAGAAGAATGTAGTAATGATAATGTTGAAAAGTGGAATGGAGTGCTCTAATAGTGGAGGCAATAACGATTAAGAAAAAGAAGAAGTAGTTAAATATGGAAGAGGGAAAAACAGGACTTT